AGGCGCCCCGGGGACAAAGAGGCAGCGGACTCGGCACCGCCGTGCTCGCTGATCTGCCCTTCCCACCACAGCCACGGAGAATCTGTGCGAGCCCTCGCGACCGCCCTACAGTCTCACCTCCTGGCATAAGGGGTTCCGAGTGGAGGGTATCCCTCCTGGTCTTTGTGCGGGACCCCGCCCCCGCCCCGCACGTGGGGCCAGAGTTCCCCGGGTGGGGGTGGGGTTCCTGGGTCATTTATGAAGGCGCCCCTAGAGATTCAGAGCCCAGCTCACAGGGAGAGAGTCACCAGGCTTGCAACGCCCGCCCTCACCTCGCACCAGGCGCCACCAGGACCCACGCCAGGTCCGCCGCCATCCTGATACCAGCCGGCCTGCTCCGGCCCTTCGCCCAAGAACTGCCCCAGCTCGAGCCTCTGCTGGCTCCGCCCCGAGGCCCGCGGGCCCTTTAAGAATCTAGCCTCGGAGGTGGGCCGACGGGAGGATTTGCGGCCTTGCGGGGAGGGTGTGTTCGCCTTCCTTTCTTCCAGTGCTGCGTTTCGAGTTCGAGGACCACCAGATCTTCTGCAGAGGAACATAGTCATCTATCTGAGATGTAATACCTCTTGGACTCGGGATTCCCGCTAGAGTCTCCGCCGCGAGAGCCAACCAGCCTGAGCTAGTACCCCCACAGTCTGTCGCCAGTGGAACAATCCACTCTTTGCAGCCGGCCTCTTAAAGGGCTAGAACACTAGATTGGGCGGGCGGGCGGGCGCTGAGGGGTGGTGGTGGCATGTGTGCAATAAAGGCTTATGACCGAGGCCTTGACTGGGGGTAGCTTCGGATTCAATCCCACATGCCTGAATATGGACTCTAGCAGTGTGGGCCCTTTGTATAGTATAAGAGATTTTGACCCGAGTGGATCCAGGGCCTCTTGGGACATTAATGACCCGCCTTCTCGGATCCCAGACTCCCTACGCTAGTTTGCGGTCAGAGGGAAGCCCCGCCCCTTGCCTGCCTAGAGGAGGGGGCCTAGGAAGGCCTCTGAGCCCTCCTCTGGCAAAGAGACGCAGCGGTCGTCCTGGTAACTAGGGGTACGTCGCTGAGTCGCCAGAGGGGCTGCAGTTCAGCCTGGCTTAAGAGGAATGTGGTCTACCCGGATCTACACTAGGGGAGGTCAATCCACTGGATTCTCTTCGGTCCAGTCTTCTGCGACGAGGTGGAGGTGGGAGGGCTGTCCATAGGGGGACTCCCACTCAACTCCAAATAAAGTGCAGTTCACAGAAGTTTCGGGCCGGACTTTGTAGGAAGCAGGCTGCAGTGGCTCCCCAGTGCCTCTAGTCCATATCCGAGCCCTTCTGCCTCTGCAATCCCTTCTGGTAGGGAGTAGGCTTAGAGCTGTTCCGTGGCTCTCAGCTCTGCTCTCCACTGCACGACCCAACTCCCCGAAAGCCGGCATCTACGGCCGGCCGGCCCCTTTCCCGCCCGCACGCCGGGAAGCTAGGAAGCCCCGCTGCAGCAAGCGCATCTACGGCAGGGCCGAGCAGCTTTATGTGGTCTTCTCTGGCCTCACCTGTGTGGGAATCCGTCCGCCCAATAGGTCGGCGGCCTCCCTTCGTCCAGAGGTGAGCTTCTCCAGCCAGGCTACGTGTACCAGCTGCTGCCCTGTCAGCAGCCTGCTGGGATTTGATAAACCCCATGGCCTCCCACCCATTCCCGCCTCCCATCCCTGCCCTTTCTCCTCACTTCCTGCTGCCCCTCTGGGCGGAAAGGGACAGGAACAGGGGCGGGCGGGGAGGAGAGCCCCTTGACCCTGTTTCCCTTGCTGGCTGGTTACTCTTTGCACCCTTCCTCTGAACAGCATCTGCCTCCCAGGAGTTGGGCCAAGTGACAGGAAGGATGTGGGCCTAGGGTCAGGCTCTCATCTCCTTGACGTGTCAATCATCATCAAATCCTGTAGCGAGGGGGCCCAAGTGGCGGTATTCACGGGAGTCACACTATTTGCTGGGTTGTTTAGCTAATGGTCCCCTAGAGCAGATGCCAAAGAAGGAAACCGTCTCACCCATGAGGGGGAAACTTGGGTGGGGTGGGGTCTTCCAGTAGCTGAGTCAATGTTTTCCCATTGAGAGCGGAAGTATCTGAGGTGTGTCAGAGAAGACATGTGACAATGAGCTGATGCCTGTGCCTGTGTGATATGGGAGGGGGGGTGGCAGGGGCTAGGAGGGTCTGTGGAGTAAAGGGCTTCTTACCCATGAGTGTATGAAAGATGCATGTCCCTGTGAGAGAGGGGGCTCACAGTAGGAACCCCATCTGACCTCTCCGGAGGTACAGGCAAATTTGTCTACTCTCAAATCATTCTGAACCAATCACCCCTCAGAACCCAAATGGCTCACCTCCCCAGTGCTAGGGAGTCCCTCTGCTAATAAAAAGCTGTATGGGAGCTGGGTGTCCAGCCTTGGCTGTGGTCCTACCCAGGAGCATCCGTGAACCACTGTGTTGGCTTCATAAGGGACAAAAGTCTAGGAAGCTTTAAGGGTGGGAACTCCTGGGAAAACAAAGGCCAGGCCAGACTGTCCAGGGCAGGGACACTTCCTTAGGCAGTCAGCAGGAAGGAAGTGAGTACAGCCCAGCCGGATGGAGTGGGGAAACACTGCCCTAACGCCTGTATTGTTTATAGCTTTGGGGTCAGCTGGGCAGGTCCAGAACAGGGAGTTCCCCCAGGCAGGATGGTGGTGGTGGGAGAGGGGACACTGATATGGGGAGCCTTGGCCCCTGAACAGGGGCCTTAAGCCTGGCTTATCCAGGGAATGGAGGTCTAGGCTACACAGGGTGATCCTACTCAAGACCTGACAAGTTCTAGCCTTCAAGCAGCTCGGAGGCCACCAGCCTGGCCTTGGGTTGAGCAATTCCTGCTTCCTAATCGGAAGTTCTTGAGCTTATGGCCAGAGGCTAGGCCTAGCAGAGAACCTGCTAACAGCATACCCCGAGAAATGCAGGCAGAATGTCCACAGCAGCAGAGAGCTGAGGACGTACTGGGGACAGGCTTCCAGCAGAGGCTGCAGCAGAAGCCTGAGCTCATCTGTCCGACGGTTAACTGAGATCAGTCGGGTGAGTGTGGACTCCAGAGCCTGGTAGGAGGCCAAGGGCATGATGGGAAGTGTCTGGTTGCTGTTCAACTATAGCTGGCACTTTGAGGTCCGTGGGGCTTAACTGTAACCTCATTTGAGATAATATGGTACTGTTGGGACCAGAACTGTGCCACAATTATGTGGTCACACCCACCCCTCAGGCAAGGCATCGAGGCAAATCTCCAGAAGGGTTTCACGCCCTGACTCCAGAGTCCCAAACACAGTAAGACAGGTGAGCGGCTCCCAGCCGGGTTGGAGATGGTGTGTGAACACAGCCACCTGGTGGCCATGGCTGGTATTGCTACAGGCAGTGTTCAGACTTATCACTGGCTCTTGGGTGGGCTTGCCAGCCTGGCAGAGGCTTACCTGATCAGCCCAGGTGGTGAAGCCTCACTGGAAGCCACTCTCATGTGCAGGGTCTACAAATAATTTTATTGAAATTGAACAAATAACACAACAGTCTTCCTGTGCTGGGGACCACCCTCCCCAAGCCATTTCTTACACCCTAGAAGCCCGGAGCTTCCACAAATAAGGAAAAAAATTTAAAGCCATCTCTATATAGAAATCAGACTCTGTCCCAACATTATCGTAGTCTATTTACAAACCTTCACATTTTAATTTACTCCTTTTATGCATTTTTCCCTTCTTTTGACCCTTACCAAGGAGCTCCAGTACTTTCCCTTAACTGACCCTGAAGGGGTGAAGATACTGTAGGAGAAGGGGTGGTGAACTCCTCATAGCTATTGGCACCAGCCCTGGTGAGTCACTTACCACTGGGTGGTGGGCAGCCCCGCCCCCACAGGTGGGGATGGTGGGGACAGTACAAACACAAGGGAGGTTAGACAGAGTATGTGGTTTGGGGCAAGTCCCCACAGGCACAGGCATCCATAGCCTGTCCCGACCCCGGCCTGCACCCTCTCAACTTGGGGGAGGGCAACTAGTTGAAATCATAGAGACCAGTCCAGCCCTGGGTGAAAGGAGAAGCCTCCCACACTGGTCCCCATTCTTATCGAACGGCCAGTAAACTGTCCATGTTAGAGTGGGGACAAGCGGCAGGAAGGCAGGAAGAACGAGGCTGGCACTATCCCAGTCTCTAGCCAATCCGGGAGGAATCGAGGTAGCAAATGGCTGAAACGCTCTGACTAGGTAGGGGTAAGGGAAGTGAGGGATAGAAGCTCCCACTTGGGGACAGCCCCTACAGCCCAGGGGCTGGAAGGAGGCAGACTCTGCTTGTAAAGTGCTGTAGCTTCTAGGAGGGCTGGGCCCTAGGCAAGCTTGGAAGAAAGCAGGTCAGGCAGTAACTAGGAACCAGGCATTCCTGACCAGCATATGTCCCGCCATGCTTCTTGCAGAAGTGGCTGGGGAAATGGGCCGGTAATTCTGCCATTAGCCCTCACCAGTCACCAACCACTTATACCGGTTAACACTGAGGGACTGTCCCTTTTACAACTGAAGGTTCTGGGCCAACGGAGTTTAGTTTATTCAGGGTTGTGGCACCAGCCTGGACTCCTGATTGGAAGCTACACCTTGAGCCTGGGAGTTTCTTCTGGGGCAGTGGGTGCTTGTGTCTGCCATGCCAAGGCTCACACTTCATAGAGGATCACAGGGAAATCCACGTGGATTCGGGGGGGATCCAGCTTCACGATGCCCTGTCATGGAAACAGACGCCAGTGAAGATAGGCTCAGGGCCTCTATTAGGACCCTTGCTGTTATTCCCAGCTCCTCCCCCAGGAAGCCCCGTCTGTATCTGGACATACTGATGAAGGTTAGGACCGAGACCCAGCCCCTCACCTGAGGAATCAGATTCTTGTGTACCCGCCTCAGCTTGGCTCGCTTCTGCCCATTCTTGGTGACGATTGTCTCCTCGTAGAACTCATGAGCCAGATCCCCATCTTCATCATAGAACATGGAACTGTGTGAAGAAGGGAGCAGGCTGGGTTAGAGTCTCACCCCAAATGAAGAGGCACAGGCTCAATCTTGGCGGGAGAACAGTGTGCCTGAAGAACCCTTTGGAAGTGGTAAGTGCGTCGATGCCACAGTTACTGTCACACTAACAGGTCATTTCAGAGCACACTGTCTAGGCCAAGGCCAGTTCTCATCACTGGTCTGTTCCACAAGGGTAACTATTCCAGTTGCAGGCCCTTCAGTTTGGGCTTCTATAGAGGGTGGGGGCAGTGGCCTGGGCACACTGGTCTCACTTCTAAAGACACTGCTAGTTCAGGGCCAAAGACCAAGACTGTGGATGTCTGAGCCCAAGTGGTTGGCACAGCCTACTCGACACTGTTGGTTGGGTTTTTGGTATTTACTGACAAATGCCCAGCACAGGGAGTGGCAGTCCCCAGGAGCCCACGAGGTCCAGGCCATTTTGTGTGAGCCCCTGGGGAAGAAGAGGGTTGTGCTCCAGGTCAAGAGACGCCAACTGGGCGAAGGCCGGCTTTTCGGTGGCCTCACCTCTGCAGAGGCCTAGCTCTGCTTTAACAGACACTACTTTCAGAGGTCCAACTTCACTGGGGAGGGAAGGTAAGACACCTAACAGAAGGTCGTTTCCCCTTATAGGTTCTTCTAAGGCTTACGAGAGTAGGAGGTGCATAAATGCCTTTAATTTGCAGGCTGAGTTGGATGAAACCAAGATTTTAAGCCTCTCAGAGAGGTTAGAGGGAAGCTTCTATCCTCAGCCAACTCTTCTCTAAAAAGATCTTCTGGGCAGTCAGGCGCTCAGCGCCACTTGGTTTTTCCCCTTCCCTTGCTCTGATGGGGATCCAAAATATGACAGTGGTCCAGATTCAAATGTAGGGAGAGGGGCGTTCCTCGTTCCCGGATGTCCTCCCCAAGGCAGACAGATACCCATGCCCTTACCCGCGGCGCGTGAATACGAAGGGGGGCACCGCTCGGGCTCGAGACCGCACCAAAGACTGCTCAGCGCCTGCTGCCTCAGGGCCGCCGCCCCCCGTAGCGGAGGCAAAGGGCCAGAGGCCCCGAGCTTTGGAGCCGCTGGCGCCCATGTCAGCGCCGCCGGCGCATGGCGGACCCAGCGGCCGCTCCGCTCTCACAGTGCGGCGGGCGCGACCATGCCCTGCCCCAGCCTCCACTCGCAGGTGCCGCCGCCGCCGCCTTCCGCAGGCTCTGCTGTCTCCACGGAAACCTCACTTCCGCTTCCGCAGGCCCTGCACGCTGCCTCCTTTGAGTGGCTAAAGATCTCGTCAGTCTGTACACCAGAGCCAATGGCCACCCTCAGAGGTTGAACAACCCAGGATGCGCTGCCTCCAGATCCCAGAAGGCTATGGGTCCCAGGGGTCAGCTGGGACAGCTCCTCCCTGAAAAGCAGAGGTAATGTGTTGTTATGGACTTTAACGTCGGGCGGGGTGTGACTGTCCTAAAGTCCCTGAAGCCCAACACTCAGTGGCAATACTTAATTAGGTCACCCCTCCACTCCCAAGGGGACCTTAGGCCTGACTCAGGCTAGGATACATTTAGCTTGTTTTCACAACACTACTTTTGCAAATTGTCACCTTTGCTCATAAAGAAATTAAGGAACTTACTAAATATGTTATCTTTTGTTTTCTTGAGACAAGGACTCAACATGTTGCCTTTGCTTGCCTGAAACTTGCTATGTATAACAGGCTGGCTTCAAATTCATGTCCATGGGCTTCTGCCTCCTAAGTGCTGGGATTAAAGGATGGAGTAACTATGCAGAGGGCCAAATATCTAAACTTTTTGGTCAAATTTCGTTACTTTTTTTTTCCTTCCCTTTCCTGCTTTTTTCCAGACAGGGTTTTCTCTCTAACAGCCCTGGTTGTCCTGGAACTCACTTTGTAGACCAGGCTGGCTGGCTTTCCAGACAGGGTTTTCTAACAGCCCTGGTCGTCCTGGAACTCACTTTGTAGATCAGGCTGGCTGGCCTTGAACTCACAAGAGATTCCCTGCCTCTGCCTCCTGAGTGCTGGAACTAAAGGTGTGCCCTCCCCCCCACCCACTGCCTGGCCTGGTCTAATTTCTTATGATTATATTTGAGGTAAATTAAATGTTGTAAATTCACCAGATAACACACCTCAGGAAGACAATTGTTACCAGGTATATCCTGTAGCATGTGGAATGTGGCTGTACCCATGAGTACTGATTTGGTGAAGGGGTTATTGCTATGGTTTCTCTGAGGTAGTATGTAAGAGGATAGCTTCCCTGTGCTCTAACTGTAGCTTATTCTTGTCTCCACCATGCCTAGGCCCCAGAGTGTTGAAAGACACCTGAATCCATAGGCATACATCTCCTAAACATATTGGTCCCACAGAGACCTTGGAAAGGATGCACGTGTCAATTACTGTTGGCAGTCATTCTCATCGGGTGCTACTCTGACTGTGGGTACACACATCTATAGAGTCCAAAAGCAGAAAACTTCTTAAATCTTTATTCAGCCAATTCTCTCAGGCCTCAGGCCCTGATGATGACTGTCACACCCCCATCCCTTTCCCCACAGGAGGCATTCAGTTGAGGCCACAAAGCATTTCATACATTCATACACTTCGATCAAAGTATCTGAGGGAATCTCTGGCTTTGGCAAACAAGAAGTGAGTCTAGTCCAGCAACATCTCCCTTAGAGGAGGCACTGAGGCACTAACTGTAGCTAGACTTGTCAGCCCTTCCCGACTTCAGGGCATATGCATAAGTCATAAGGCACTGTAAGAGGGAAACACAGACTCTACCTTATGTCTGTATTATGCTGAGCAGTTATCCTTGGCTCTGATTGGGCTATCCTGAGACTTAATCATGACCCAAAATAATCTTTCTATCCATAGATAAGGGCCCTCACCCTTGCAAACATAACCTTGTTCTGTTTCTGGAGTCTCTAAGCTTTTCACAGCTGAGACCCTGATGAAAGGCTGGAACAGCTACCCAGAGTACGACCCAGTATATAAGGGGCAGGGAGATGCAAAGCCCCGCCCCGCTGTATCCACTGGAAAAGGGCCAGCTCCTTCACTCTTCTCTGGGCTCAGTCCCTTTAGTAGAGGACCACCTCCACACACACTCATTCCTCAGGCCTCACGGGCCCGGTCACACTCACACGGCACGCCCTTTGCATTGCCTATTTTCCTCCTGCCACCCAGGGATACAAAAGGTCACCCCAAAGGGCATGCGTGCAAGGCTTCCTGGATCTTCTGGCGGCAACGAGAATACTTCTGCAGGATCTGTCGGAGGTGCTCCTCTTCTTCCCGCTGCAGGATGCGTAGGAAATTGTGCAGTTCAGGCATGCTGAAGGCGTCCCACTGCAAATGGGCAGAGGAGAGATATATGGGCTACAGTAAGAAATGGCTAAGTTGGCAGAACCTCTTCAGAGACCGGTGCCTCAGGGTCACACAATCTAGGATTGGGCTTCCTGCTATCACCTTTTTCATTCCCCAACTATATCTATTTTGGTTTTGTTGTTATTGATTTTAATTACTTTATGTGTATGGGTGTTTTGTAATTGTGTGCATGTGTGTATGTGCATCATGTGTATGACAGGTGCCACATGGAGATCAGAAAAGGGCATTAGATCCCTTGGAACTGAAGTTACAGATGGTTGTGAGATGCCATCTGGATGCTGGAAATCAAACCCAGGTCCTCTGTAAGAGCAACACATGCTCTTAACCACTAAGTCAACTCTTTAAACCCAGGTCCTCTGTAAGAGCAACACATGCTCTTAACCACTAAGTCAACTCCTTAAACCCCCTTTTTTGTTGCTTTTTGAGTTACAGTCTTGTCACATATCCAAGGCTGGCCCTGAACTTGTTATGTAGCCCAGGTTAGATTCAAAGTTGTGATTCTCCTGTCTGTTTGCTGAATGCTGCCATTACAAGTATGTATCCGTATGCTAGGTTGACATTAGGCTCTTGGCTAAATAGTCTGTGCTAGGATCTTCATGACAAGAGAGACAACAGAACTGGGATGTTCTCAAATATCTGTTGTCTCACCCCCCACCCACAACACAATGGGCTATGAACCAAACCCAGGGGCTCCTAAATGTAAACAAGCTGCAGTTTTCTTTACTTCAAGCTACCTTTCTCGGGTAGCCCACTACCCACCCCCTGCTTTTTTTCTTTTGCTGCTGAGCTTTATGCATATTAAGCACACATTCTTACCACACACTAACCCCTAGGTAAGAAGTCTTTTCTGTAACATTACTGGGAGTTGAATTGTGCTGGCTAGTTTTAGGTCAACTTGACACAAACGAGAGTTACCTGAAAGGAGGAAACCTTGAGAAAATGCCTCCACAGTATCTTAAGACATTTTCTTAATTAGTGATAGATGGGAGAGGGCTCAGCCCATGGTGGGTGGGGCCATCCCTGGGCAGGGGGAGCAAGTCAGTAAGCAGCACCCTTTATGGCCTCTGCCATCAGATCCTTCCTATAGGTTCCTGCCCTGTTTGAGTTCCTGTCCTGACTTCTTCCAATGATGGACAATGATGTGGAAGTATGAGCCAAATAAACTCTTTCCTCCCCAACTTGCTTTTGGCCATGGTGTTTCATCATAGCAATAGAAATCCAAAGGCATCTAACATGCTAAGCATGTTTACCACTGAACTATGGTCCCAAGTCCTTTTACTCTTTGAGAGAGCATCTCACTAAGTTGACCCAGACTGGCCTTTTACTAGAAGAGTGTTTTATATATATATATATATATGAATATGATCGTGCTATGTAGCTTAGCTGGTCTTGAACTTCAGGCAAGCCTCCGGCCAGGACACTCAGTTCACTCAAAGAGTGCAAACTTGCGCAGCATGGCCTCAATGACCTCACATGCCCGTGTTCTAACAGGTAAAAGTCTTAACACTTGAAAGTAGGCCTTCCTGTTTCCTGGCTATACCTGTGAAGCTTTTTAAGATTTATTTTTAGGGGCTGGAGAGATGGTTCAGTGGTTAAGAGCACTGCTCTTGCAGAGGACCTGGGTTCAATTCCCACTACCCACACATTGGCTTTCAATCATCTTAACTCCAGTTTCAGGGGAGTCAACACCTTCTGACTTCGGTGGACATGCATATACACATATATAGGCCTGTAAGCATATACGTGCACTGTGTGCATGGTCTAGAATTATGGACATCAGTAAACCTCTATGTGGATGCTAAGAACCTAATCTGGATCCTCTGTGTGAGAATAAGTGCTTTTAACCACTGAACCATCTTTCCAGCCCCACTGTTTTAATTTTGTATATGTGTGTCTGTGTGAGGCTATGTACACATAAGTACAGCTACCCTCTGAAGCCAGAAGAGGAAGTCAAACCCTTTGGAACTGGAGTTACAGATGAAAGTGGGCTACCTAACATGGGTGCTTCAAACAGAATTTAGGTTCTCTGGAAAAGCAGCAAGTACGCATTTTTCTTTTTTTTTTTTTGGTTTTTCGAGACAGGGTTTCTCTGTATTGTTTTGGAGGCTGTCCTGGAACTCGCTTTGTAGACCAGGCTGGCCTCGAACTCACAGAGATCCGCCTGCCTCTGCCTCCCAAGTGCTGGGACTAAAGGTGTGCGCCACCAACGCCCGGCAGCAAGTACTCTTAACAACTGCTGAGCCACCTCTAAGCCCACACCTGTGTAGCTCTGAACTTGTCTTGGCTCACCAAGAGTCAATCACATCCTGCAATCTTTTTTTTTTTCCACATCCCTCAATCTTTTGAGAAATTTCCACATCAGGAAACAATAAAGCACCAAGACAATTCTTCTTAGCTTGCTTTTGTGGCTCAGACTGACCCCGAACTCCTAGCAAGCCCCAGTCTCAGCATCCCAGGCCCCTCGATGACAAGCATGACCCAGTAGATTCAGTTTCTTCCTAGTGTCTTGGGAAAGGCCTAGACCTTGGCTTGAGTGTCCTGGAAGCCTATACTTTCATTTCAGAACCTGTATATTCTTGGAGAGGTTGTGCAGGCTCTAGCCCAGATTCTCCTGAAACCCTCACTGTAGCTACATCCTACCAGCTTTGTCTAGTGATAAGAAAATAAGAAAGACTATGTACTCACATTCACCTCCCCAGAGTCATTCTCTTTCAGGACAAAGCTCAGGGCCTTCTCACTAGGCCCTGCAAGAAGCCGTAGCTTCAAGGGCTGCTCATCATCTGACAGTTTCCGGAAGTACACTGGAGGTCAGGTAGGGAAAAAGGATAAAGAATTAGAAACAGGCTCAGATGGCCCAGCCCTGAATGCACAGGTATGTGATATATACCTAACACAGGGAGAGCTGGGATAGGAAACCTACCTTGGCCATGACGCTCAGTTCGCTCAAAGAGTGCAAACTTGCGAGGATCATCTACTACCATGAACTTTCGCAGCAAGGCCTCAATGACCTCACGTGCCCGTGTTCGTGACAGAACATGCAAATGCTTAATAGCATCCTTAGGCAAGTAAAAGGAGGTGCGGCGCTTCACAGCTGTGCTGCGCCCTGTGCCCCGCCGGGCGTCCTGTAAAGAAGGCGGTTTCTTGCTGGAAGGCACTGAGACAGGACGTACCAGTTTCAGCTGAACCTTGATGAAGCCCGTGTAGGAGCCATCCTTGTTCTAAAACGAGAGAAAGAAAAACCATACCATGACAGGAAGTTCTACGGAGTCCTCCTGGGGCTGGGCCAGGTGTGCATGTATAGATTACTGCTTGAGCCAACCAAGAAGACTCTGGCTACAACTCTGGCCATCTGGCACAGCTGGGTTCTGCTAGTCCCCACACTCCTGGCCTGAGCAGTCAACTCACCAAGCTCATGAAGAGGTTGCTGTTGATTTGGCCATTGTAATCCTTGATCTTCTGCTCAGTCTCAGCCTGAGAAAGGTCAGGTGTCTCCCGCTGTCCAGGCTCGTCCTAAAAGACAGGCCAGCATGGATACAGGGCCCTTGAAAAGTGCAAGGCTTTTTTGGAGGAAAAGAACAAAAACCCAGAACATCCCTTGGATCTTGATTCTGGTCTGTCTCCAAACCCATACACCCTGAGCTCATCACTGCTCCCAGTTTTGCATGTTATAGATGGAGACAGCAAACATAGAATCATTTGGCTTTCTGCTGTGGGGGGGTGGGTCACCTCAGCACCAGTTATGGCCCCTAACAGCATTACAGAAACAAAGACAAATAAAGGCACACGGCAAGGGGCCAGGAAAACATGAAGGACTATTGGGAAGGAATGCTGCTTAAAGCAAAAACACTTTTTGGGGATAGAAGTGACAGAGTACTTGTCTAGTATGTGAAAGGCCCTCATCCCCAGTACCTCCTCCACCCCCACCCAAGTGAGACTAGAACCACATCTCAGCTGACCCCAGAGCACCGGCTGGGTCAGTTTATTCTCCCACTTTGCACCAGCACAGAACATGACACACGGCAGGGACAGAAGCAGGGCGCTGATACACATCAGTCGTCTGCCTGCAGGCAGAGGGGACAGGTGGGTCTGTGACAGCAACATGCCTTAGTGGGTTCTTGGGGCCAGCATATCATGGTCACATGCCATGTACCCAGGACTCAAGCTACACGAGACAGCTTCAACCCAGGTTCCAAGCTGCAACTTTCGGGCAGAGGCCATTCTGCCGGTACCAAGCAGGTAGCTGCTCTTCCCCTTGCTGTCTGGAAACTCAGCCTGAGGCCTTTAGCTCTTCAGGGACTGAGTTTTGCTGGCAGGGTGGAGTGGATCAGGGCAGTCGGGACTCTGATTTTCTTCTACCAAACTCACTTGGCCTTACTGCCTCAGTCTCACTTCCTGTTGACATCAGAAAGGTCCTGGTGCAAACACTGGGATGGCCACTGACCAATGCCTTGTCCCAGGAGGGTCTCACAAGGTCTCAGCGGGGATCGAACTCACAGCCCCACATGCTGGGCAAGTGCCCAATCCCTGAACTATGTCCCCAGCCCTCGTGATTTTTACATCATTTCTCAGCTTCCATTTATTTTAGTTCATTAATGGTGCTGAGGATGGAAGTCAGGCCATCATGCAAGCTATTAAGCACCCTCCAACTGACCCTGCTACAAACTTCAGCTGCTTTTTAACAATTCTTTTCATACACCTTTCAACTGGCTAGCACCTTGTGTTTTTTACACCTTTCCATAATAGATGACAACTCAGGCTTCGTGGCATGGAGACAGTCCCAGGGACCCACACCGAATCTACAGTCTGGACTAAAGTTTTTGTGGTGTCAAGTAGCAGCTCATCTACTAAAAAAAAAAGTGTATCAAGCCAGGCGGTGGTGGCGCACGCCTTTAATCCCAGCACTCGGGAGGCAGAGGCAGGTGGATCTCTGTGAGTTCGAGGCTGGGCTGGACTGACAGCCTCCAGAACAATATAGAGAAACCCTGTCTCATAAAAACCAAAAAAAAAAAAAAAATTGTATCAAATCTCACCTACACCACCACAGACAACTCCTTTTTTTTGGGGGGGGGCTCAAATAAGGAACTCTACCTCGATGCTTCTAAGTTTACTAACCTTCGGTCTCCCCCTCACTTTGCTGATGCCCCGGCCTCTGTGCTCTTTTGCAGTATTCCGGCTCAAGAATAAGTTTTCTGAGCGTAGCCGGGCGTTGGTGGCACATGCCTTTAATCCCAGCACTGGGGAGGCAGAGGCAGACGGACTGGGGAGGCAGAGGCAGACGGATCTCTGTGAGTTCGAGGCCAGCCTGGTCTACAGAATGAGTTCCAGGACAGCCTCCAAAATAATACAGAGAAACCCTATCTCGAACCCCCTACCACAAAAAAAAAAAAAAAGTTATCTGGGCGTGGCGGTCACAACCACAATAGTTCCAGAAAAGTCTCTGATAATAGGGCACATCTAGGTTCAGCTGCCCTGGGACCGCACTTTACAGTCAGTCTCCCCGCTGCTAACGATTAAAGTCCAAAGCAAAGACCATCACTATGTCCCCCAGCCTCCCTCTCCAAAGTTCCACCCTGGAAGGAAGATCGGAAAATGTCTACACCCCAGCATCCGGTGTCAGAGTTGCCCAGCACTGACTGGGGACTTTTCTGGCTGATCTAAGACTGAAAATGGAAGGGACAGGGTCCCCTCCCAAACAAACTTCTCACTTCCCGACGGGCTCCTCCTCCACTTCCTATTTCTTCCAGGGAGGGAGTAGGAGCGCCCAAATGCGAACTCAAGACGCCGGCTTGGGCTGGGGCTGGCTTTAGTCATGGGTGAATAACGCCCGCCTGTGGTCCACCCAAGCTTCAGAGCTGCTTCCCCTGACTCAACCGGTCTGTGACCGCAAGTCAGGGAAGCCCGGGTACTCAGTACCGGCGCGCTGGAGCCAGCTTCTACCAGAAGCAGAGCCCTTCACACATTTTCCGGGCCATGTTTTGAGTGGACCCGCCGGGAGGCTCACGGAGAGGCGGGAAGGCTGCCTACAATAACTCTCCACGCCGCAACTTACCGGGGAGGGGCGGGATCCCAGCGACCGCCCCTCACCCGCCGGCCGGCCGCACCCCCCCTCCGCCCGGCTCCCACCTGGTCCCGGCGCGGCCTGCGGACCAGCGAGGTCCGCGCAGTGAAGTACTGCTCGAGCTCCGAGTCCGAGTCCTCTTGGCTGCAGTAGCCACTGCTCGTCGTGCTGCTCCAGGTCATTTCGAAGGAAGGCGTCTCAGCCTCACCCATCGCCTTACCCGCCCGATCCCTGGTCCACTGCGTGCGGAGCCTCCAACCACCGCCCCGGGCGCGTGCGTGCGTGCGTGCGTGTCAGTATGCGCTTGCGCAGAGGCCTGCGACGCGCGGCAACCGTTAGGACTGAAACGTAGACAACCAGAATCTAGTGCTGGGGTTATGGGGTGGGGTGGGGGGAGGGCGAGGGGCGGGGACACACCGCTACAACCCGAGGAATGACCTCATCGCTGAGGCATCTCAACTCGGCTCCGCCTCCCAGAGGGAAGTGTCAGCGTGTGCGCGCATGTGCACCGCCTTGCCTCAGGGCCGGAAGCGGGGTGTGAAAAGTGCGCGTGCAGCGTGCCAGGGCGCGCCTTCGCGGCCGATGGCTTGTGGGCCGTAGTTTTTGCGTGGAGTCAGCTCCTGACAAACCCACAAGCACAACTAGACTCCCTGATGCCGGGAAATCGATAATTGGGATGTTCGTTGTGTTGACGAGCCCCAGGTCCCCTCCCTGCCCACACTCCCCCGACCCCGGACCCCGAGCTCACCACGTTCGTGTCCCTTTCCAGTGCGGGATCCCAGCCCAGGTCTCGGGGCCCGCAGCAGTCCAGGCAGACGAGCGCACGACAACGGTAATGGCAGGTGAACTTGCAGTCTGCAGAAAGGGCTGACCGTGAGGCGGAGGAGCTCCGCGAAGTGACCCACAGACAGAGGGAGCCGCTGCCCGACAGATTTGGGCTTGGCTGGCTTTTTCTCAAACTCCGTTACTGCCCATTGCTACACAGATGTTAGAAGCACCTTTGGGAACTGCCTGGAAGGCCCCAGGCTGTTAGAGATCTGACCCTGCTCAACACTTGTGTTTGCCTACCGTAGAGCTACTACTTCACTTTGCCATTAACTTGAAAACAAAAGTGTTTAATTTACGACTTCCTCTGTTTGTCATCTGCCTCTTCACTAGTTTACACAGCCTATTTTGTTTTTTGAGAAAGGGTCTCATCAAATGGTAACCTTGAAGTTGGCGATCCGCCTGTCTCCAACTGCTCTAATGCCAGGATTACAGACGTGTGCCAATCCCCAAAGCACACATCTAATGTGTCACCTTCTGTATGCACTAGCAGCATTGCTGTGTCCTAAACATTGTTGCTTGCTCCCTTTGACTCCCAGGGACAGCACTCACTAGCCAGGTTCTCTCCTCACTTCTCTGAAGCTGCTTCCGCCCTGTCTCAACTCCCAGATCTAATAGTTGGTGTCCAGGTTTCTCACCTGGGTACTCACCTGATCCAGAGCCAAGGCAGAACTGATTTGCCTCTTTAGAACAAATCCTACACGTAGTGTCTTCACTTTAATGTCTAATAAAGATTTCAAATGTACACGACCAAAATTTCACTTCCACTTCAACTCACCCCGGGGTTCCTATCTCAGCAAAAGTTACCACTGACTGTCCAGTTCTTTGAAGCTCTATCCTACACATGTTTGATTCCCTTATCAAGCACTTGTCAAACATCTGCTTTCTCACCTCCAGAGCAACTTTCTCTTTGAAAATGTTGCAGTATCACAGCCCTTGCTTCTATGTGGCATTCTGTCACAAATGACGTTCTTCACTAGCTGAATCTGTGACACACTCTTGTAGTGAATAAATGAGCTCTAGGCATGCACAGGCCTACAGTCCACTTTTAAGTTCCTATATGGCTCAAAGCGCTGATCCTCAGCTCCATCTACACATCGGAATTTGGGGAGCAGAGGCAGGTGGATCTCTGTCTGACTAGAGTTGCAGGCTAGCCTGGTCTGAATAGAGTTGCAGGCTAGCCAGGGCTGCATAGTGAGACCCTGTCTCAAAAAAAACAAAAACAAAAACAAAAGAAAACAACAACAAAGCTCTCAATGCCTAAGGTCTACTTTCAACAATGGACTCAACATGTCTGACTGAGAGAAGATCTAGACATAAGGCGATGGGAGGGTACAAAGTATGCTGGGTGAGTCTAGCTTCTGCTTGCTGGTAATCTCCAGGTCATAAGGACCACTGTGTGTGTGGTTGTGTTCCACGTTTTAACCTCTGGATCTCTGACTCAAAACAATCCTTGACTAAAGACTCAACAAGACTCCTACTTACAAAGAGCCCAACCAAGGTTCTAACATTTTCTGGCCCCCTATCATACGTGGGTGGGTGAAGTCACCCAAGAATCTGGAGGGAAACACAGAGAGCCAATCGTTGGGAAGAGGACGACCTGGGAATATAGGCACAGGACACAGTAGGCACAAAGACTTTTCAAGGGCCCTGGCGCATTAAAGACGAACTTGGAACCAGTACCTTGTTGTGTACGGGCATCGGCCTGTGCCCACCTGTGCGCCGGCCACGGACTAAGTGTGACAAGTAATAAACCATTTTCTCAACCATGCTCCCTGATGGGGCAAGGGAACGGGACCTGGTGTGCAGGATCATCTCTGCTGACCCCCTCTGCCATGGTGCTCCTGCCTTTAACCTCCCGTCTCGTGATCGCTGGCTGTGTGGGGCCGCTACTCACGCGCGCACTGTAGGCCCTTGCGCACGACGCCCCAGATGAAGTCTCCACAGAGGTCGCACCACGTGTGCGTGGCGGGACCCGCAGGCTGGAAGCGGTGGCCGCGCCCCGGGACGTGCTGCTGTGACGAATTGCGTGCTGTGCACGGCGCGATGCGCAGAGCGTTGGCACGTTCCAGCCGGGTACGGCCAGGGCCGATGCGCCCAGACGGTGCCAGCTCCCGTAGTTCAATGAGCTCCGGCTCTGCCGACATGGCCCGGTCAGGCCGGGGCTCCAGCGGACTGGACGCTAGCGGGCGAGGCCGCAGGGCGGGGCCGCCACTTCGGCACCGCCCCCAGGATCAAGGCAGGGCGGCGGGAAAGGAGAACGCAATGGAAACCGAGGAGAGGCGACAGTGTGCACTTGTGGGCGGGGCGGGGCACAGGGGTGGGCGCTTTCAAAGAGCCCCCTTCCCAGGCTTTCCTGCCAGTCTTCGCCCCAGCTTCCCTCCCCCGCCCCCAACGACGACTGCAAAGCTCCATCTACACTGATGCGTTTCGTGTCCGCTTTACTGTGATAAAGGAAAAGGGTCTCTACATCCGGCCCTTGCGTAGCCCCCCCCCCCCGTCTGCCCGTTTGCTGATGCTGAGGCCTGGATCTCTTCTTACATATTCGTGGGGTGGGGCAGGAAGTGAAGAGTCTTTGCTTGTGTGCTTGTCGGGTGCTTGTGGTTTGCAGCTCTACTTGACTCAGCTGTGCTCGCCACTAGGGAAATTGAGGTCTGAGAGGGGCCAGGCAGAACTCCTGAGTCTCAGAGTCACATTCCGGCCGTCAGAAGTTGCAGCCTTCACTTGGCTCTGTCACCTTGGGCTGCTAGAACACATGTCTGTCCGTGCTTCTCCCAATGCTTGACTTGGCAATCCCTGCAGCGGGGTGGGCTTGTGAGGATAAGAGTGCTTGTGGGAGAACCCAGGGTCGGAACTTAGGGGGATTAAGGTTCGGGGATCCCCTTACCTGCAGCAATACCACACGCTCTGGCATCTGGAGCAGCGCTTGGAGGCCTCTGAATTGCAGTAAGCACAGCGGGGTCTCTCTGGAGCTATTGCCTCTAGGACATCCAGCCTGTAGGTTTCAGCCCACCTGGGGGAGGGGCCAAGACGATCTGAATACGACAGGTAGGGGGGCACAGAAGCACTCCTGCCATGGCCGTGCCTCCTATGTCCTAGGCACCTGTCTTCAGCCACGCAGCACACCTTACCTCTGTGCCTGTCGGCGAAGGTCCTGCTCTGAGGGGCTGAATACATGCTGCAGCTGGTGCTTGGCAATAGCCTGCCATTTACCTTTGTTCTCTCGCTCCAGCCGATCCCAGATTTCCGGGATCTAAGAGAATGTAATAGAGAGGAGAGGGCTGGGCGGTGGTGGCGCTCGCCTTTAATCCCAGCACTCGGGAGGCAGAGGCAGGTGGATCTCTGTGAGTTCGAGGCCAGCCTGGTCTACAGAGCAAGTTCCAGGACAGCCTCCAAAACAATACAGAGAAACCCTGTCTCGAAAAACCAAAAAAAAAAAAAAAAAAAAAAAAAAAGAAAAAGAAAAAAAGAAAAGAAAAATAGAGAGGAGAGGAAGGAGCTGGCAAAGTGAATCATGGTTCCAAGCAACTAACCTTCTAGGTGCCTACCTGTTCCAACACTAGGTCCTTCTTAGGGGGGTGGGTTTCAGCCAGAGCCAGGTGGGCCAGGAAACCCTTCAGGTCTGCAAGGTTGGGCAGCTGGTCCAGAAGTGTGTCCGTGAGGAAGGCCTGAAGCTGCAAGGTATCCAAGGGAGGCCATTGGAAACAGCTCCTGGCCAGAGGGTCAAGAGACAGGGAGTCCCCAAGTTGGGTTGGGGTCCTTGGAGGGTTTATGTCTCACTGGTTCCCATGTCACCTGAAGCCCAAGTTGTGGAAAGAGGACAGGGACAGACAGGCAGGGATGCAATGGGGGTGGGTCAGGGTAGTGGTGGTGGCAGTGGGGGATGGGTAGGGCCTTTGAGCTCCCCACCTTGAGCAGCTGTCCCTTAACAAAGCTCGTAAGGCAGTATCGGGCTTGGGCTTCAGGGCTGAGCAGTAGATTATACAGGGTGATCCACACTTGCCCATCCAGCTTGCTTAGTCTTTGCTGTTCTGAGGGGGCCACTGTCTGCCAGCGGCCATTCTCAAACTGCTGTAGTTTGCCTGGAGCGGGCGAGAACCAGGTCACTGGATGCATTCTCTTTGAGTGTGTGGACTGAGAACAGGAAGCCTGGGCCACCAGACTTGTCAAACAAGGTGAGTCCATGGAACTTATCTGCCTCAGAGTCAAAAATCTAGCCCACCCTGATATCCTCAATATGCACACGGTGCAGCTATCCACTTCTATTAACCCTGAAGGATGTTGTGGAAGCAGCCAGGTAGGTCTTAGGCAGGTGGGGGAAGGCCTTACCTCCTTCCCGCCGGCACCAGGGACTATGCTCCAGCAGCTCCACCAGAAGGCAGGGCAAGTTGTGAGTACTGAGCATTCGGTTCAAGGTACTCAGGGAAAGGCTAGGGGTAGGGGTGAGAAGGGGGTTAGCAGGAGCTACAGGCCCAGTCTTCCGGCCCTTTATTGTCCACCCCAGGCCCTGGAGGGCTGCCCACCTGTCCACGCAGTCGGTGATGTAGCGAAGCACCGAGAGGGCCTTCAGTGAGATCTCAAATTCCATCATCTCGGCCTGTTTCTGCAGCTCCTGGTGGGGGGAGCACAGGCACATAGCATCCGCCCCTGCCTGTGGAGGCCTGCAAGGACTCACCTTGAGGTTTTGCCAACTCCAGGAAACCTTAACTTACTTGCATAGGGGTACTGTCCTGGGACTGTTCTTCCTCAGATGGGTCCCCACAGCTAGTCCGGGCCACAAGCATTATCAGCTTGCGGTGGCAATAGTCCACTAGGTCCAAGACCTTGTCATCCGCTGACTCACACACCTCCTGGGGGTTCAAGGAGAGGGATAGTCCAGTATTCAATATTGATATTTGATGCCCTCCCCCACAGATATATCCCACCAGGCTCTGGCCTGCAGAAGTGGCCTCTTGGCAGGGATAGTGCCTCACCTTGTGGAAGAACACTGTCTCTAGAAGATTGATGATGGAGGCCTCATGGTGTACCTGTCAAAGAGGACAGGGCCGGACTGTGAGGGAGGGGCAGCTGCTGTTAGCTATCATGGCTCAGGACCCTCTGAAGGCCCAGCTCACCACCATGTAGATGGGGAAGGCCCAGCTCACCACCATGTAGATAGGGAAGGTATTATGGGGCTTGAAGTCCTCTAGCCTGCACAGCACCGGGAACACCCTCTGTTTCCACATCTCCACTGCAATCAGTTCTTCCACCAGGGTTGGGATCTGCAAAGGGCAGGGAAGAACAGAGACGAAATGGACCCACCTTGGTCTCACAGCTCTCCCGGCCCTAAGCGTTAGCCCAGCTTAGCTCTCCAACTCTCTTGGGCCCTTAGACTCCCCCAGGTTCCATAAGTACCCTCAAAGTCCCCGCTGTACTGTCGGCCTTCACTTCCCGTTGCTTCCATACCTCTCTGAAAGGACATCGGTCAGGTTTCCTGTGGATGACCTTCATGTCCCCTCCTGCACCTTATCCCATCCCCTACATCAGGCATCCCTTTTAGGCCAGCCCTCCTCTTCATGTCCTGCTTGTTTTTTTCTTTTTTGTTCGTGTTTTTTCTTTTAATTAGTCTTCCTAATTGCAGCAGCCCTTTTTAAAAAACATTTTTATTTCATTTGCATTGGTGTTTTGCCTGCATGTATGTCTGTGTGAGAGTGTCACATCTCAGGGCTACAGACAGCTGTAAACTGCCATGTGGGTGCTGGGAATCCAACTTGGGTCCTCTGGAAGAACAGCCAGTGCTCTTAACTGCTGAGCCACCTCTCCAGTCCCCCTCTTGACATCCTTACTTTGGTCTTTGCCCTGATCTGCCAAGTACACCGTAGCCTTACCCTGAGGCCTTTGTCATGCTCTATTCCTAGATGATCCCCCAGTGCCCAGCTCTGCCCTTTTCTTGCAGAGGAAACATGCTTCCACGCACTAGTGCCACCCCTGCCCCCTCCTTCAGCAGGCATCTTCCTGGTTTCTACTTTCCCCTTTTATGGCAGAAAGGCTGCGTTTCCCACTGTGAAAGCCCCACTTCCCCTTTCGTGAGGAATCTCCATCGGTCTCACAGTCAATTCGGGGTGATGTTAGCACTCGGGTGCTCCCCCGACGGCCTAGGCTAGTCTAGGACCCATGCCTGTCTCCCTAAGTAACCCTCATATCCACCTAGGGTGCAATAGGAAATGTAGCCAGGCATAGTGATGCATGCCTGTCATCCTGGTACATGGGAGTCAGAAACAGGAAGGTTGGGAGTTAACTGCAGCCTGGGCTACAGTTTATCAACACTTTATCTCAAAATAAATAAAACAAACCCAACAATTCTTCTTTCGCACTTAGGAATGACAGGCACACCAGGCCAGAAGAAGAAAAGGTGCCCAGTGTCCCCGAAAAGTCGAGTAGGAAGGCAGGAATCCTGTGAGCTTGACATACCTTCCCATGGGTGACCAGCAGTTCCTGGATGGGCTCACCCTGGCTGACAGTGGCATCAAGGATGGCTTGCATGTTCAGCTTCTCCAGGTTCTCATGTTGCTTACTCCACCTGCTCCCGAAGGGATGCGTGTATACTGGGTGTACAGGTGTGCAACGGGAGTGAGGGCAGGGGCTGGCTCTACTGAAGCCTATGGGATCCTGCCAGAGGGGCGCCAGAAGCCGTCCACTTCTATCTCAAAGAGCTTTGCCTCCCATCTGTAGGCCTCTCCACATTGGGCCACCCCTTCTCCAATGTCAGTTCCAAGCTCCTCCACTAAAGGACCTGTGATGCCCCCGGCGGCAGCTGCCTCACCTTTCAGATCCCATCTCCCTGAGCTGGAAGCTGCACAGGCCCCGCACCAGCACTTCAGCCTCCCCGGGCAGCAGCAGCTCCAGGTCGCCCATACCGGGGGCCAGAATTCCTTTGGCTTTGGGCAGCAGTCGGAATTGGAGAAACTGACAGTCTCCAGTGGTGGGACCAAAGTCTGGAACGCAACAGTTACTGAGCCGTTGAAGCGCGTGGGTCCTCGTTGCCATGGAAACCAGTGAGCTTGGCGCCTGCGTAGAGTTGTCCTTGCCACGCCCACCTCACTGCCAATAAGCAGCTCTAGATTCGAGGCACCCTCGCCACACCTCCTCAGGGCCGGAGAAGCTAGGGAGTAACTCCGATCCTCACCAACTCTGGCAGCTGCCTCTTATGGGGTAATTACAGCGATCTCTCACAAGACCGACGCAACTGCACTCTGGACTCCACCCAGAAGTCGAGTCTTTTATGTTATTTTTATTTTTTTGGAGACAGGATCTGACTTTGTGATCCAGGCTGGTCTGGAACTCCCTGGCCTCCAAGTTATAGAGACAGATCCACTGGCCTCTGCTATGTCTCTTTAGTGCTAAAATTAAAGGCTTGTGTGCCCATGCTCAGCCCAGCAGCCAGGAGTCCTAAAGAGATACACCTAACATTCTTCCTCCAGGATGGTCCTGTGTCTATCCCCCTCCCCCACCCAAAATACTAGACCACAGCACTTAGCAGCTTCTCCGAAAGATGTCCCTCACTCCTCCTACCCCTGTGCTTCAATTTTTGTCCCATCCCCCTCTTAGGTTTATTTTGAAATTATGTTTGTGTCTGTGCACAAGTGTTTAGGTACCCATGGTGGAAGTCCCTTGTGCCGCATGAGTGGCCAGGCCCCTCTCCCAGGGACCTCTAACTGCCAGGTTCGACCCACACAATACTCTAATAGCCCTGACTGCTGGACCCTGCCCACACCCTACAGTGTAAAAAGCCCGGTCTCTGGACACGAAATCCCACCAATCTCCACCTTGGAACGCTCCACCATGAAAGCCCCGCCCCCTTCCCAAGAAGCCCCGCCCCCTTCCCAAGAAGCTCTGTGTGAGCCCTGTATCCTGTTCACTTTGCAGCTGTTTCTCATTCGAGCAGAGGCAGCCACCCTCCTGGTTTTCTCCCTCCCAGTAAATCTCTTGAGTGAGGTTTGTTGTGCAGTGTGACTTCGTGGGACTCCTTGGCTCTCGGCTGCCAGGACACCTTTCTGTTTGAGCTGGAATGCTTACACACGAAGCCAGAGACGTGAATCCCCTGGAGCTGGAGTCATAGGCGGTTGTGAGCTGTCCCGTGTGGGTGCTGGGAACTAAACTCCAGTCCTCTGCAAGAGTAGTGTTCTTAACTGTTGAGCCATCTTTCCAGTACCCCCCTTTCTTTGAGGTGGGGTCTCACTATATCGCCAAGACCAACCTGAGTTCACTATAGAGCCAGGGCTGGTCGGAATTTTCCTTCTTTGTCAGCTTCCCAAGTGTTGGGGTTTCAGGCATGAACACCATGCTTGTTTCCATGTTCCAACCTCATGGCCTCCTCCGAACTCCTCATACACTCTTTGGGCTTTTTGAGACAGGCGTCACTGTGTCACCCAGGCTGGCTTTTTTTTTTTTTTTTGGTTTTACGAGGCAGGGTTTCTCTGTTTTGGAGGCTGTCGGTCCAGCCTGGCCTCGAACTCACAGAGATCCGCCTGCCTCTGCCTCCCGAGGGCTGGGATTAAAGGCATGCGCCACCAATGCCCGGCTAGGCTGGCTTTTAACACATCTAGTCCAAGCTGCCCTTGAATTTGAAGCAGTTCTCCTATGTTGGTCTCCTGAGTGTTGGCTTTACAAGAATGCATTACCACATTTGACCTTGCTTTAGGATTTAAGTTATTTCTTGTTATTTTGTCTTTTTTTTTTCCAGAGCTGAGGACTGAACCCAAGGCCTTGCGCTTGCTCTACCACTGAGCTAAATTCCCAACCCCTTGACCTTATTTCTTCTAGAATATTCTTCTTACTCCTGCAAGATTCAGCTCATGTCTCCTAAGTGAGGTCTTTCTCGGCAATCTAATCTGGAGTATTTCCTCCTCCTATCTGACTCTAGATCTTTTAGTTTACAGGTCCAGAGCTGTGGTCATAGCTGAGTGCTTGCCTAGTGTGTGCACAGAGCCTTGGCTTCGGTCCCCAGCCCCGCACACACAGGGTTTGGGGCCCCGAGTCTACAATCCAAGATGCAGGAGACAGAGGCAGGAGACACACAAGTCCAGGGGCAGCTGCTCCAGGGCAGGCTCCGGGCCAGTCTGTGCTATGTAAGACCCTGTCTCAAACACCTCACAGGAAAACACAAGCACATTGAAACCTAGATGTGCTCAGCTGCAGCGGCGCACGCCCTTAGTCCAGCACTTAGTAGGCAGAGACAGTCAGATTTCTGTGAGCTGAAGGCCAGCTTGGGCTACATAGTGAGATCCTGTCTCAAAAAAAAAAAAAAAAAAAAAAAATCACCTTCCCCAAAACAAAAACCAAACCAGACTAAACCAAACAAAACCTTGTTTACTTGGCCATTGTCATTTCTGTCCACTAGATGGCACTCCAGCCAGGCCAGGCTAATTGGCACGGCTAGCACAGGCTCTTTAGTGGTTGGCTGAGGCAGTACTCAATTTTCCACAGGATGAAATGGACTTTTATTTACAAAACCGAGGATCGCCTCCAGACCATATGTACCAGCCTACTTGTGTAGACCCCATGGGCCAATGAGGGGCAAGTAGCCATAGTAAATGCTCCAGGCAGCCAGACTCACTTCCAGCAAATGATGATGTTGGGGTCATTTTCTAGTCGCTCATCCAGTTCATGGTAGCTCATACCTGGTGGGGTGAGGGAAGCGAGGTCAGTAGCCTTGGCCTGGTGAGTCAGCCCTCCCCGCCCCCGGCACTCCCCCTCCCGTCCCCCTCCCCTCCCCTCCCCGCCCACGGCCCTCCCCCTCCCCTCCCCCGGCCCGTCCTGCCGGCCTGCACCTGTCTTGCAGCAGATTTCGTCATAGCTGTGGCAGCCCGTGTAAAGCCGGGCAGGGTGGCTCCGTTCCTCCCGAGACACTCGGACTGGATACTTCTGCAGTCTCCGGATGAGGTTCTTCATCAGCCCAAACTGGATCAGTTTCCTGAGGTGGTGGTTGGGGAAGAGAGTTGATAGCCTAGCCGAGCCCAGCTAACCCTTTCCTTCGGTGCCTTATGGGCTAGAGCGCCCTCCAAGCTCACCGTTGCCAGGAAACCCACCTGGACTAGCAGGCCACATGCTTACACTCATTGGGAATCATCCAGAGAGACCTAAGACCCCTCAGCCCATCGTGCAAGCCTGGGAGTGCCCCTCTGACCTTTCATCAACATGCTGTAACTGCTGGGGGTGGCGTCCGATGAGGTCTCGCACAGTGGTGCCAGGACTCAGGCTGCAGTACAGCTGGAATACATCTCGGAGACTGGCCCTTTTGTGTCCTGTGGGTGCCAGGGTCAGCTCCCCAAGTGACCTTGTCCTCCCCAGATCAGTCTCCCATGGGGTTTGCCACTACCTTGCTTGGTGACATAGGACAGACATGCCTCCTGCAGGGACTTGTCATCCACCAGGTCCTGGACTTTTGGCGTTGGGCAGTACACATTGGAGTACTAGAACACAGCAAGGGGCACATGAGCCTGACGATGTGTGTGGGCATCTGGCTGGATCTGGTCCAGCCACATGGTTCACTTTTACCTAGCTGTATCCCAGACTCACCTACCTGGAGGATGGATACCAGTGTCACAACACCGTAGTACCTGGGGGAAAGAGATGTGCTTAGCTCCCACACACCATGCCTTCCCAACCTCATGCTCAGGGCCCTTTGCCTCCCTCTGACTGGTGGCCTTCCAATGGGCACGCCGTATCTTCACTCACAGCAGGTTCTGAATGGCAATGCGCACCAGGTTGAGCTCCACATCTGCCTCAGCAGAGATCTTCTGGACATGGCGGAACCCATCAATGTAGGGAAGGATCTGTACAGGGCAAGGCAGGGTCAGCAAGGGCGGGTGAAGCTAAGGTGTGGGCAGCCCACGGTGATAACAGTTAAGAGAGGGCTAGCAGCCGGGCGGTGGTGGTGCACGCCTTTAATCCCAGCACTCGGGAGGCAGAGGCAGGCGGATCTCTGTGAGTTCGAGGCCAGGCTGGACCGACAGCCACCAAAACAATACAGAGAAACCCTGTCTCGTAAAACCAAAAAGAAAAAAAAAGAGAGAGAAAGAGAGAGAGAGAGAGAGAGAGAGAGAGAGGGCTAGCATTCCTGCTGTGTGGTAACAGTTAAGAAAGGGCTAGCATACCTGCTGTGTGGTAAGGTCCCACTGCGAGTTGAAGAAATCCTCCTTGTCCTTGGTAAAGACAGGCACATCATACTCCTGAGCCACAGGAGGGTCAGGCCGCTGCTCAATCACCTTCAAGTGGATGGTGTTGGACTCATCTGCAGGGGACCCCACCCATATCCTTAGTGTCATCTTTCCCAAGGGGCCTCAATTACAACCCGACTGTCCTAGTGCTAACTGAGGCAGGCAGGTGGATCCTGGAAGGACCGTTCACCCTCTTATGGACCAAGAAGCCAAGGGGCAGTGCTGAGTTCTGCTGGCTGCAGTCCGCCCCAATACATACGGAACCTCAGACATCATGGCTTCAACCCACGGCTAGTTCTTGCCCACCAATTTGTCCAAGAATCTTGTCCTGCAGTGGCTGTGCTCAAGCCTGCACTTTCCCACCCTCCTCTATGCATATGCTGTCCCGGCAGAGGCCGCCCATACCGATGGGTAGAGTGCACCGGCCAGAGGCATTTAGCTCTTCCAGTAAGATGGTCATGATGGGCACCAGCTTCTGCTTGCTCTCCTCTGTGGACACAAAGCTGCTTTCAAGCTGGACAGAAGATGGACACATTTGTTGAGTAAACCTCAGATCTCCCGGCTGGCTGCCTTCTGAGCTACTTGTTGGAGGTTGGGGACTGGAGACATAGGAAGGAGCAGTTCCCCAACCGCGCCTGCCATGCACCCATGCCCATCTTGTTGCAGACCTCCAGTGTGGTCAAGTAGCCGGCCAGCTTTTTAACGATGGGTTCAAGGGCACAAGTCTTGGCCTGAGCATCACACACGAAGCCCAGGTTGAAGAGGAGGGCATTGCGGCTGTACTTCTTGTGTTCAATGCACACGGGGCAGC